GGTATTTGGATTGAAGGCAATGACAACATAACCGCATATAAAAGAAGTATTATAGTATATGGAAGGTCCGACAAACCAAAAACAATTCAATCTTATTGGGGATGTTATGACCCATTGTGTTATCCTTTATTCTTTCCAAATGGTGAGCCTGGATGGCATTCTAACATACTAAGGCAAGGGGTTTCATTCAATGAGATGGTTAATGACGACCAAATCTTCGATGAAGATCTAGAAGGTACGCATAGCCACAATTTTAATATTGTTAAATTTTACAAATGTAAAAATTGATATAATTTATTCAATTTAATCATTATGTAGAGACTGATATAAGAACGGGTAGGAAAACTGTAACTATGCGGGAGTACTACTGTTACAAGTTGCAGATTCGATCAAACTTGAACGTAATTATGTTAGGAGGGAGATTATTACAACAATTTGTGGTAGATATCTACATCAAGATTGAGACTTCGCGTTTGGAATTTTGTAGAAAAAACCAATCTACAATAAGAGCGGAGTTATACCAAGGTGTTGTGGATTGTGTCAATGCCGGTGAGGTACAAGCAAGTATGATTGGGCAACGTGTTGTTTTGCCAGCAAGTTTCATCGGAGGTCCTCGTGACATGCGACGACGATTTCTCGATGCTATGGCTTTAGTTCAAGATGGAGGGAAACCTGATATATTCCTTACAATAACGTGCAATCCGAATTGGCCTGAAATCCAAAATGAGTTACTTCATTTTCAAACAGCACAAGATAGACCAGATCTGGTTGCAAGAGTTTTTCGTGCTAAGTTACATGACCTTAAGGAACAACTCTTGAAGAGGCACGTCCTTGGTGTGGTGAGTGCATATGTTTATGTAATAGAGTTCCAGAAACGTGGTTTACCACATGCTCATTTTCTCTTAATAATGAAACCTGAATGGAAGCTCACCAATACAGACCATTATGACAAGTATGTGTGTGCCGAAATTCCAAACCCGACAAAGTATCCTATACTACACGATCTGGTCAAATCACACATGATACATGGTCCTTGTGGTACATTAAACAAAAAATGTTCTTGTATGCAAGGTGATCCACCAACCTGTCGTTTTAGATACCCTCGACAATTCAACGAAGCCACAACACAAGGAAAGGACACATATCCGGTTTATCGAAGGAGAGATAATGGAATTGCTGTGAATAAACAAGGTATTATGATGGATAATAGATGGGTTGTCCCATATAACCCAAAGTTGTTGATGATGTTCAACTGCCATCTAAATGTTGAGGTTTGCTCGAGTATAACATCAGTGAAATACATCTTTAAGTATATTTACAAGGGTCATGACAAGCAAGTTATCCATATTGATCCAGATGCACAACCTGTTGTTATCAATGAGATAAAACGTTTTCAGGATGCACGATACGTCTCCGCTCCAGAAGCAGTATGGCGAATTTTTAGCTTTTCTCTTAATCAAATCCACCCTAATGTGATCACTTTGCAATTGCATCTTCCAAACCAACAGTTGGTTAGGTTCACTGATGATGATGCAATGAAATCAGTTGTTGAGAGGGAGAAAGATAAGAGATCAATGTTGACTGCATTTTTCAAGATGAATAAAGATAACGTTAATGCAAGAGAATATTTATACAAAGATTTTCCCAAACACTTCACATGGAATAAAGAATCGCGTCTATGGAATCCTCGAAAAGTATCACGAGCAGTTGGTCGTTTGGTTTCTGCAAATCCTGCTGAAGGTGAGCGATACTATCTACGTGTGTTATTATGTCATGTTAGGGGTCCTACATGTTTTGAAGATCTGTACACAGTCAATAACGTAAGACATCCCACATTTCGAAAAGCGGCTCTTGAAAGAGGGTTAATAGAGACAGATGATAGTTTATCGCAGTGTCTTGTAGAGGCCTCCTTGTTTCAGTTTCCAAATGCTCTCAGAAGGTTGTTTGCAACGATATTAGTTTTTTGTGATCCTGGAGATGTTCGCAAGATATGGAATTCCCACTACAATTCTCTCTCCGAAGATTATAGTAGACAATACGATAATGTCAATCGAGTACAAAATATGGTCCTTACAGACATAAGCGTATTCCTACAGTCTATGGGTAACAAGCTTGATAACTTTGATCTCCCGACTGTAAACACCGATTTGAATTTTCAGTCTGGAGTTTTTCGAGAGGTACAAGAAGAATGCTCTATAATTGTGGAAGATGACCATTTGCGTGCCAAAGAGTTTCTCAATCCTGAACAAAAATATGCATATGATGAGATCATGAGGCATGTGTGTACTGATTGTACAGGAGTGTTCTTCATAGATGGTCCTGGCGGAACAGGAAAAACATATCTGTACAAAGCTTTACTTGCTAATATACGCAAACTTGGTCATATTGCACTCGCCACAGCTTCATCGGGTGTTGCGGCTAATAACATGCCTGGGGGGAGAACAGCTCACTCGCGTTTCAAACTTCCTCTAACTCCAGATAATAACTCATTCTGTAGAATCCAAAAACAAAGCGGTACCGCTCAACTACTTCGGCTTGCAAAAATAATCATATGGGATGAGGCATCGATGGCAAAGCGACAGGTGGTGGAGGCGTTTGATCGGACAATGCAAGATATCACTGGGGTGGCACTCCCTTTTGGTGGAAAGATAATGGTTCTGGGAGGCGATTTTAGACAAGTATTGCCAGTCGTAAGACGTGGGACACGAGCACAAATTGTAGACTCTAGCCTACGAATGTCGCCTCTTTGGTCTTCGATTATAAAGTTGCGGTTAACAATAAATATGAGAGCACTTACTGATCCATGGTTCTCAAACTTTCTATTACGGGTTGGTGATGGAGTTGAAGAAACAGTGGACGGAAGTTTTATTCGCATCCCTGATGATATGGTCATTCCATACACTGATAAAGAAAAATCATTAGATTCTTTGATTGATGCAGTGTTTCCCTCATTGGAATTTAATAGGTCTGAATCAGATTATATCATATCGCGGGCAATATTATCTACAAAAAATGATAGTGTCGATGCGATTAACGATTACATGATCGATCGATTTCAAGGAGAAGAGAGAATTTACTATAGTGTCGATGAAGCCATAGATGATAAAAATGGCTTCTATCCGTTGGAATTCTTAAACTCGATCAGTGTTAGTGGTTTACCTCCGCATTACCTTCGATTAAAAGTTGGATGTCCGATAATACTGTTACGGAATATTGACCCAGCAAATGGGTTGTGTAATGGCACCCGATTGATATGTAGAAGCTTTCAGCAAAATGTTATTGATGCAGAAATAGCTGTTGGTCAACATGCAGGAACAAGGATATTTTTGCCTAAGATTCCTTTATGTCCATCTGATGATGATATGTTCCCATTCAAGCTAAAGAGGAAACAGTTTCCTATTCGATTGTGCTTTGCAATGACAATCAATAAAGCTCAGGGACAAACAATTCCATATGTAGGTATCTATCTTCCAGAACCAGTATTCTCGCATGGACAACTTTATGTTGCATTGTCCAGAGGGGTTTCACGTTGCAATACAAAAGTATTAGTACAGCCTAACGAAAATTCAAAAGGTGATGGGGTTTATACAGCAAATGTGGTGTATAAAGAAGTATTGCACGATTAATATTTTGTATTGTCTTGACTGGTTGCTTTTTATTGGTTATTTGATGCATGATGTAACAAATAACACCATAGTTTGATTATATTGTCTTCAACATGTACTTTTTTTTAACATAACAATTTTGTAATGGAAACATATCACCGAAAGAACTCACGTGCCCCGCCGCTTTGCGCGGGTAGACGGCTAGTATATATATATATATATATATATATATATATATATATATATATATATATATATATATATATATATATATATATATATGAACACACACCTTGGGAGAGAGAAGCACAAATGGGTTACTAGGTTGGGTTCACATTGCAAAAATTGGAAAGCACACGGACTCGGTGGACACTAATTGAAAACTTGGATTGAAATTATGATATTCACAAAACCATAGGGACCGTTTGTGGAATGTAATTTAAGAATATCAAAACGTTTCTTTTCTTTTGGAAATTCCGTAGGTCTTCACGTGCAAATTCTATGTGGCACGCGGAAAAATATGGACGACCTGTCAAAATGTTTCTATAGAAATCTTTTGTTACAAAGAATATCATGATTTTTTTAGCTCAAACGTAGTTTGTATACGGACTTCATGAATTAACAAATTTGTTTTTTTTTTTTTCACTGATTAATCTATTTTGGAGCTAAAAATGTGACTTTGGACATCCAAATTTGAATTTTAATATGTCAATGAAATTACAAAGAAAACAATAAAAAGATTTCAACTCGAATTATGAAAGAGTTGTAAAGTTTTAGAGTTTGAAAAAAAAAATCAAATCTAACTTTGAAAATCTACATATTCCCAAGCAACCCACTTGCAAAAAATTGTGGTTTTTTTTTTTTTTTTTTTTTTTTTTTTTTTTTTTTTTTTTTTAATAAATTGCTGAAATTATCCTTATGATTTGATCAAAATTACATGTTTGGTCTTTAGTTTTTTTTAGTACTTGGATCGTCCATGTGGTTTGATTTTGTTGTATTTTTGTTTCTTACATACATAAGATTAAGGATCAAACATGTAATTTTGACCAAACCATAGAGACAAAAAACGTAACAAAATCAAACTACAATGACGATCAAAGTGCAAAAAAAAGTTGGGTAACAAACGTGCAATTTTAACTAAATCATACAGACAGTTTCAATAATTTACTTTTTTTTTTTAGCGTTTTTCAATTTCTTAACTATTTTATGGAAACTTTTCTTGGAAAAACTTTGAGAAAAAGAAAAGATTATGATCAATTTCTCTTGTCTTAATTGATAATTTTTTTTTAGGTAAAATAAAAAAATTATTATGTTATATATAATAATAATAATAATAATATTCTTTTTATAACATATATACCAATATAACACGATGTTATTGTAAAATAAAGGGACATAAGTACTAACCCGTTTTTTTCTCTTTCCTTGTGTAATCTCACTCGGTCCATGGACAAACTTCCCGATGATATAGCCCTCCATCTACTGAGTCGACTCGACGACTCGGCCGACGTAGCTCGCTGCCGACTAGCTTGTAAGACGTTCGATACTGTCTCTCCGGAACTTCGATCAATCAATCTTCAATGTTCATTGGAAAGGTACATCAAATCAAGGTCTAAGTTATCGAATTCTTCAAGTTCGTCACAATCTGTTACTCCTTTCAAGACAATTTTCCTCAATCTTGTATCGAATTTGAGGGGTTGTCGATTCGGTGTGTATAGGCACCGAGAAACCACTCCGAAATGTGTCGTACGATGATTTTGAGGATGAGGATGATGATCTGTACCTCACCCATGGAGATTTTGTTAAGGAGTGGCTACCTAGGGTTTGCGGAAGGTTGAAATCGCTTTCAATTTCTGATTTTTGGATTCAATCTTGTTGGCGTCGATCGGACCTGTTGCCTCTAGTTTCTGCGTATTGTAAGTTCATCATATATGCAAGAATTCTAATTCATGTTCTTCATCCTCTGCTGATGCTGTTCTTATGTTGTAAAATTCAATTCTCTACTGATGCGAAATGATAAAACCCCCCTCTATGATCTGACAATCAATTAGGAAGCTCATGTACCTTCATATGTTCTTAATTTCACCTGGTGTTGATGATTGCTAGTTAATCGATGCACTCAATTTTGATTGATGCAGGTCATAATCTTCTTGAATTAGAGGTGAAGAACGCATGGCTATCAGTAGAAAACATGAACCCAATGCCAATGCTAACAACTTTAACACTTGAATTCATAAGATTAGACGATGAAGACCTAAACATGTTGAACAAATCCTTCCCAAATCTTCAAGTTCTTAACTTGGTAGGTGTCGGAGGTCTCAAACTCCCCAAAATCAACCTTCTTAACCTCAAAACCTGTCACTGGACTGTATCAAATGCCCCATCATCTTTAACCCTAATCACACCCACTCTCATCACACTAAGACTCGAATGCATAAAACCCACTTCACTTTACATCGAAGCTCCCATGTTATCTCATCTCCATCTTGCCCTTGATCATGCTGACTCATTTACAATCAAAAAGTTCCTAAATTTAAAAACCCTTTGGCTCGAGTCTTTATACATCGGATCCTTACTCTTAAACTTCCCATTTACAAAAACAGTCGAAAACCTAACAGTCGATTCACGAAAGTGGGAGAGAAGGGCAGTTGGGATTTCCAAATTTACCCTTGAGAAGGTGTTCACGGTTTTCCCGAATGTGAATTCTTTATGTATAAACTCAAGTTTGTGGTCGGAATTAGAGGCGTGTTATGATGTGGAAAGTTGGGAGACTTGGGATGGGAGAAAAGGGTTGAAATCATTTTGTGCATATTTGTTGTTGGTTGACCCTTTGTTGACTTTTTCATTGGTTGCTTCTTTGTTGGATCAATGTGTGGGGTTGGTTGATGTTTCATTGCTTATACATCATGATGTTGTTGCTAATGTATCGAAAAGCTTTATCTCAAGGTGTACATCTCGGTGGCCGGAAGTGAATTGGAAATGGGGAATTTGGAGAGAAGGAATGGAAGTTTCTTGGCTAACCAATGTATAAATTTTGAATGATTTCTTCATGATTTTTGGATCATAAAAAATGATTTTTTGCTTGTCTTTGTGTTATATTTAGATAATTATGTTGTAAATACGATCATATGTATGTTATATCTTTGGTTTTACTAGATAATATAGTAGCTGGTATCTATGTTTATGGTTTATTGGTTGCAATAGATAGTAGTTGATCTGGATTGGAGTGGACTACCTTTCTAGGGCTAGTTTTATTAGAAGGATGAGAAGGGCCTTTATGTCTTTTTGCACAAACGGAAGATTGGGAGTATGTCTTTATCACCACATTGTTCGACTTTTTTCAATGAGACAAGAAATTGCATTTTTTTGTTCCATTGATATGGTTGTTTCTTGTTTATTTGGACTTAATTTAGACAAAATGACATAATTTGTTCCGTTGACAAGGTTGTTTCATTTCTATTTTATTGACAAACCATTTTTTTTGAAATTATTATTTGCTGAAAAATTAAGCCGACTTTCTATCATTTTTAAGGAAAAGTTTCATAGTAAAAAGGGTACAAAGATTTATTTTATAAAGTACATTGTTATTTTTGAGAAGAGATTATTATGAACATTATCGAGGGAGGGAGAGGATTTCTACAATTACATGTTTCACTCTTATAACACCGATGTATAATGATGAGATAAGTAGATTATCTTCCATGAATTAAGGTTACGGTTACAATGCATACCACAACTTCCACTATCATTTCGATCTCTAATTTCCAAATTTATTATCAAATCAATATTTGTCTACCCGAGTAAGAAAAACTTCTGTTCTCACCAAAAATACTACGACCATATGTGACACTCATCATGTCTAGGACGAGCGGGAACTGTAGGGTCACAAAAGAAGTGATTGGTAGGCATGTCAACACAGCTATTGGAATTAGAATCCTTGAGTTCCCTTGGCCAAACACAAGGTACAATGTTGCACCAAAAGCTACTATCATGGCTGTTGTTGAGATGAATAAGGTAGTCAAACCAATTATCAACTTTGTAGGCAACTTAATGAGAAAGTCTTGTTCAGCAAAACGTGCAGTGAGGATCGACAAAAACATTAACAATGAAGTAACAGCCGCGAACAATGATATGGCATCTGATATTGCAAATACTATGAATGAAGTGTTGTTGGTAAAAATTGGTATCCCAGTTTCCTGATTGCTTCCTCCTGGCACTGTAATTGCTGACACAATGGTGATGATTAATGTAGCTGTGATCGTGTAGGACTCCGCAGTGGACTTCATCCATTTTTCTCCCTCAATCACCAACTCCTTGTGTTCTCTTGTGAATACCATTTGAGGTGTTTCGTTGAAATAGTTCTTTTGCATAATGCTTAGAGGACAAATGAATCTTCCCACTTCCTACAATATTGCAATATGTGTTAAGTGTTACACTTACACATGCTTGATAAATACTTATGGCACGTCTTTTAATATCAATTATACTGATTTTGAATCATATATAGAGATTCATACCTTATACCATTGTAGTTCGCGTTGTATTTGTAAAGCTGCTCCCGATATAAGATTCAGTTTGTTGTTAGGTGCCAATCTTGCAGCTAGATGCAACAGGTTATTGCCATGAGAGTCTCTGATTGTTCGATATATATTCCGATGCTCGCTCATTTGATAAAGGAGGTTGTAAACCTTTTCTGAGCGATTTATCACAGCATACTGGATAATGTTGTGACCATCTTCGTTAGCACTCCAAATTGCCTCTGGGAACCAATTCACGATTTCTTCTACAAACTCGTGTGCATTTTGTCTAGTGGCTTCAAGAATTGGCTTTGTGTAATAGTGATGGTAAGAGCTGGTGTGAGTTTCTTCCTTTATCAACTTAGATACATCCCACAACAGTTTCATAGCATCTTTATGAATTCGAACTCTCTCTTTAATGAATGGAGGCGCTGCAACATAGAAGAAAATGAGCATCTCAAATAAAGAAATAGATCTTTTTTTTTTTTTTTTTCTCTATCTTCTGTTTTTTGTAATACAATGACTGTACTTGTTGATCATCTTACCTAACATGTTACAAATTTTCCTGGAACACACAGAAATTAAGCCAGTCACTGCATTACGTGACGGAATGTTTGTTAGAATTAATAATAGAATGTTCAACCAATAAGTTAAAAGTTCAAGAAAAGATAAATTAACTCATGACCTACCAAAAATGATTGGGGTGATTATCAACATGGAAATGCATAGAGAACATGCAGAACGTCTGTCAGTTGTTGTAGACAAGTTTTGGAAAACTTCTGCTGGTCTCTCAAGTAACTTTTTTTTGGTCCCTACAGTATAAAAATCGGTGTGCAGATGGAGGTTTTGGTGGAGAAGCGTTATTATAAATAATTTGAAAATGTAAAGGAACATGCAGAATTAAGATGAAAAAAGAACAAACCTATATATTTTTCATATACGTTGAGTTCGCAAGGGAAATTTTGAGCTATAGCCATCAGCACAGCATCAGAATGTAAAGGCTCCCATGACACCAATATATATTCGACCACATTCAATATATATTCGACCACATTCAATATATATTCGACCAGATCCCAATATCCTTGTTGAGTAAATCCGTACAAATTTCGGAGTTGGTTTGCTCTGTATTCTTCATCTTGTTGTGTATCTATATTTTCATAATTTTGTTATCAAGGTAAAAACTAGCGACATACAAATTAAGTATCTTGTCTCTAATCTAAACATCAGGGATTAAATTTATGTGAATACTCTTCCATCTTCTAAGATGTTTAAATAGAAAGAGAGAGTTGATTTGTGGTGCCCACAAAAACAACTTTAAGGATTGCCTCCTCCTCAAGTGATTCCCATCATATAATAAAGTTTTAAACAAAGAATATATATTAATTTTAAAAGTTAATTACCAAATGATTTTTTACTGTGAATTGGTTTATCATAGTATAGCTCGTAAAGTCTTGAGCAAAGAATATTTGGACTGTCGTTACCCCTGCTGCTGCTTCACTTCCCATTACTGGCCGTCTTCTAAGTCTTTCAAATTCAAACAAAAAGAGACAAATTAAGGGAATCTTAAAAGAGTCTCTTAATTTGTAGAATGAAGAACAGGTTTTATTGTTTGGTTGACTCGATTTCTACTCTACACGGAGTATCTGTAATATCATATAAGTGCTATGGGATATATAAGTTGTTGATAAAAGTGTATTAGCAATTGTACAAACACATACGTGGATCAATTGTTAACAGTTACATTTCTAATTGTAATGTTTTAGAAACTTACTCGATGCATGTTTTAATAATTTGTATTTTTTTTTTTTTGCTAATCGTTCAAATGGATGTGATGTAGACAAAAGTACACTAAATCAAATCAAATAACCAGTTCATCTAAAATACCATTAAATTTAGGTAAATCATGCTTTTTATATCTATCTTGGGGAAGAACTTACGATCCAAATTTATTATTTAGTTATTAGTTGAGAAAATGACTTAATAGCCCAAATTTATTATTTAGTTATTAGTTGGGAAAATAACTTAACATTATTTCTAAAAAAGCCCAACTAAGTTACACTTTTGTTCAATTCTCATTAGGGTCAACCAACTAATGAAAGTCAACGAAGAACATGCCTTATGATGTGGAATTAAATATCGGGAAAATGACGTGTAAAACCAACGAAGTTTCAAAACTGTTCAAAAAACTCAAATCATGTTTTGTCTTTTAAAAAAAACACAACGAACTTACGCTTTTGTTCAATTCTCATTAGAGACAACCATATTCATTAGGTATACAATTAGTTGGCAAATGACATTGCATTATATTTAATGACATGGACTAAAGTGATTCAAATTCTTCAAGTTCGTTGAATTTTTTTTAGACAAAATGTTAAGCTCGTTGGATTTTTTTTGAATACACAAAACATGATTGTAGTTTTTTAAATGGTTTTGAAACTTCGTTGGTTTTACAAGTCATTTTCCCGATATATAATTCCACGTCATAAGCAATATCATTTGTTGACTTTCATTAGCCGGTCGACCCTAATGAAAAATGAAAAAATGTGTAACTTAGTTGGGCTTTTTTAGACAAAATGTTAAATTCGTTGAGTTTTCTTGAACAAACAAAACATAATTGGGGTTTTTGAATGGCTTTGAAACTTCCTAGTGCTTATAAATTATTTTCCCTTGTTAGTTAGATATTTAAACATATAAGAACGGATTTATTATTGTTATTAGCAGTAAACTCTTATGATTATTTGAAAAAAAATTATAAAATAAAACCCCACAATTCTAAAACAATCTCTCTCTCTCTCTCTCTCTCTCTCTCTCTCTCTCTCTCTCTCTCTCTCTCTCTCTCTCTCTCTCTCTCTCTCTATTTTTTGCATAACCAAGATTATCTATTTCACTTTGTCCATAAAACAATATACTTCAGCGTTGGAATTTTGAATCATTGGATTCGCGTTAAGAAAATAGTTTCTTTGCATATATTCAAAACAGGAAGACCGGTTTGATCACAGAGATATATGGAAAGTCCCAGAGACATTCTTTGCATACATGTGATTATGATTTATGTGAATAGAAACATAAGCTTGATAAACAAATTTTATGTATATAAACGAAGCAAAACATAGCCCACAAAGACACTAGAGGCTTGTTTCTATAAATTGCAGTTCTTTTGATTGGTGCCTAAATGGAAAAAATCAGACACTAGATCAACCCAAATAACTAGTTAATTTTAGATATAATTAATAATAGATACATGTTTTCATCTACTTAGAAAAAATTACTATCCAAATATAATATTGGCCAGTTTTTAGTTATATATTTAAAATATCATTTGTTGGCATCTTTGTAAGTAACTGTGCATTTTATGGCATTTAGACTTCATTTCATCATGTTAGTACGTTACACAAGGCCGGACGATCTTCACAATACATACTCGTACACCAAACTATATATAAGAACTGTTTTAGTATTCATTTGTGGCTATATATAGATTAATAGGCCTAGTCATCTCTTAGAGAAAAATGCTATTTGATAACTAAACTATATATGAGAACAGTTTCAGTAACAAACTTTTGGGATGAAACTGTAGTTCCAATATAAGTTTTGGGTTAGTAATTTTTTAAGTTTCATACTAAGAGAGAAGCATTATTTTGTGTATTTAGACTTATCACTCTCCCTCCATGGACAATAGTTCTTGTGTGGTGTTTTTATATTTATAAATAAACTTTAATTATACATGGAGTACCATTAAAGCTTAACTTATACCAACTTCATATCCTTTTATTCATCATCTAGTTTTCAATGCAAACTACTAGCCTGGTGTAGATACATCATCAGTATTTGCCTCCCGGTGTAAATACTAATAATTTTTTTTTGTTTATGTAAAATATTACAATTACTATGACTTTTATTTAGTATGTATCCTAAATAATCTTCCATCAAAAACATCTATTTATCACCGTGACAAATAATTATCCTTTTATTCCTTAATCGTATATCCTTATCTTGTGGGCATTACACTTGATTTTAGTAGTTGAGTCCTAGGGATATTGGTTCTAGGACTGGAGGTATAAAAGGTACATATTCTTGGTGATGGAGGTCCAAGGGGTGAAAGTTTTGGTGGATGTGGTGTAGGGATTTTGGTTAGGTTTAAGTGTATTGGTAGGTGTTTTATATATTCAAGGAGTGCTGGTGTAGCTAGGTTAAGAGGTTTAGAGGGTGGTGGTGCAAGTAGTATCGGGGATCAAGGGTGATGGTGCATAAGGTTCATCAGATTCAGAGGGTGGTTAGGGAGCTTTTTAATTTATTGCTTATGGTTATATGGGTATACCGTATTCGGTGAATAATGATATATTTTGTTATGATTTATGTTGCCTAATGGTATTGTGGTATGTTTTTGTAAGGTTTTGTTGAACCTTGCGCTCTTTTGTTAAGGTTAGAATGTATAACAATGTAATCAAAACTTTATTCTCTTGAAAACAATGTAATGATATTTTGGTACTTTATTTAGAAGATTGATTTTGGTGGTTAATTTAATACATTGTCTTAATTGAAATTTTTGTAAGTACAATGCTCTAATTGTAGCTTCGTTGTTATTAAGTACCATGTCGGATTCTAAGCGAACTGCATTAGTGTCAATGTATGTTGTTATTAAGTACCATGTCGGATTCTAAGCGAACTGCATTAGTGTCAATGTATGTTGTCATTAAGTATAATGCCATAATGCCAATATATGTTGTTTAACAATATAGCTCATTAATATCAATGTATGTTGTGTTAAAGTTCAATGACATTGTATGTCATATGTCTTCTTCACTTAACATGTTTTTAACTGCATTTCCATATTATGATCCTATGTAAGTATAATGACATAATAACCTGAGAAAATTAAATGAACATAATACTCTTAATTTTTATAACTTCATTTATATTTGCAATAAGATTTGGTTAACCATTACAAAGTGCCACAACCATTAATCCATAACACAAAATACATGACACGCTTTGAATTTTGTTCTTTGAAATTTGAATTTAATTACATCAGAAACCTAACAAACATTATACTAAACTTATATTGCCTTTCATTGATATGTTACCAAAACAGTACACGAGGTTAAAGCATTCATCCAAAGTTTACAAACAAAAAGAATTACGTATTAGAACCTACTTATATGTGAAAGACATGGAGGGAGAAGAAAACCCAACTCGAAAATTAACAAAAGTGTGTATTTCCTAGCTTCGAATACAACAAATCTAAATGAAACTTGAAGGTTATTGATGGACCTTAAGATAACATGAATGATTCGTTTTGATCTAGGGTACATGGGTGGGTGAATCCACCTATGAAGAACACTTCGATCTGAGAACTGAGCAATCATAGAATTGTCGCTTGGATTCTTTTATGTCCAGGATGCAACGAATGTTGTAGGACAACCTCATCCACAAAACACCAACTTCAATTTTCTTCAATAGAGGAGAGGAGATGAAGGGAATTAGATTAATTTTGTTTGAAGAAGAGAACCATACATACATATATATATATATATATATATATATATATATATATATATATATATATATATATATATACCCCTAGGAGAGTGAAACATGAATGGGAGAAAATACCATCACATAGAAGGCATGTGTGTATCGTTAATGATTCAATTTAGACGGGGTTAATAGGTTGACACTAATTGAGAACTTGTACTTAAATTATGAAATTCACAAACCATAAGGACCGTTTGTGAAATGTCTAAAATATTGAAAAAAACCAGTTAGTCTTATGTAACGTCCCAAATCTCAAACCAAAATTTTCATTTAAAATAAAAGCATTTGTTCCAGTTACAACTTCACGTATCTAAATAAAACCATTTGATTTAAAACGTTTATCAGAGTATCGAGATAAGAGTTAATAAGTGCGAAAATCTTCAATGGACGCGATGCAATTAAGTCGTGCGCTTCAATATAAGAAAACCTGAAACGATTT